ATGACTATTTTGTAACTACCCATTTGTACTTCTTAATCCCTTCATTTCTTTTCACCCATCCCCCAACCTGACTCCCATCTGGCAAATGTCAGAACGTTCTCTGTGTCTATGATTTTCTGTTTCCATTTTGTGTGTTCATTTATTTTTTAATTTTTATTTATTTTTTTAGGTTCCACATTTAAGTGAAATCATCTGTCACTGTCTTCCTCTGTCTGGCATATTTCACTCAGCACAATAGCCTCTAGGTCCATCGATAAAAAAGATTTCATTCGTTTATATGGCTGAGTCATATTCTATTGCATATATGCACTACTTTTTCCTTATCCATTAAAAGATTCTTTTAATGTGATTTTTTTTTTAAAAGGAAAGGGTAGGAGGAGGCAGCACTGTAGAAGGAAATCCTAATGATCAAGAGAGAAAAAAAAAACTGTGTGCAATCGATTTTGTGACTTTGTTTCAGATTGCTTTGGGGTTTATCAAATCTAATAATGGGCTCTTCCATCCTTTATCCATTCTTTAACCTCCTTTCAAATCTAACATAGCTGGGATTCTGTTAAGCTTCAATGTCTGCTTTTCAGATGTATGAGATAATTTGGTTCAAGAATAATGGGCAAAGCACCTAGCAAGATGTTGTTAGGGAACAAAGTTGTATAAGTCTGGCCCCTGCCCTCTGAAGCTTTCAATATAGTCGGGGAAGAGATGTAAGAAAGGGATTGATCTCTAACTATCAGAGTAATTCCCTTGACACGGAAATGATGAAGAGATGAATCTATACAGAGGAAAATGGGAATTGACTCTGAGCCATTTTGCCTGGATTGAATCATGCCTCTACCTGTTACTGGCTCTTGTAACTTTGGGCAAGTTATTTAAATTGCTTGTGCCTCGGTTTCCTCTTCTGTAAATTGGATCCAGCGATGAGCAATATTTTAATTTTATCTAACTTACTTTCAGTAACATTTTGCTCCAATGCAATACTCCTTTTCTGTAAGGCTGTTCCTGGGAGACGGAAAGTTTAGTTAATAAGGGAGTTAAGTTACAGAGTAATTGCTTGCAGTTTAAACAAACAACTTTTTGCTTCCCTCTTAATATGCTAATAGCTGGGTCTAAAGAATATTCCATTCTTAGAAAGGTACTATTTCTGATTTTCAAAAATTATCTGTGACCATTGGAAACTAATCATAGGAAACTACAAACTTAGCACATGTCTTGAAATCTGTATAGAAAATATAAATCATGTCAAGTTTCAAACTCTCACTTATTAGTGTACCACTCAACCTTGGAAAAATAAAAAGGTGTCTCCAAAGGTAGCCTTTGTTTTAAATGCCATTCCTTAAAAAGGAAACTGTTCCTTTTAACTTTACAACACCCCCATTTCAAATCATATCATTTAATTGTCTTGGTCATGGGCATTTCCAAGGTGAGATTTTATATTTCGCTCCCATAGCTTCTGGTTATCATAAAACCCATGCTTGCCTGGCCAGTGTTGCTCAGTGGTCAAGGGTTGACCCATGAAACCGAAGGTCATGGTTGGATTCCTGATCAGGGCACTTGACTGAGTTGCGGGCCTGATCTCCAGTAGGGGGTGTGCAGGAGGCAGCCAATCATCAATTCTCTCTCATCACTGATGTTTCTCTCTCTCTCTCCCTCTCCCTTCTTCTCTGAAATCAATAAAAATATATGGAAAAACAAAACAAAAAGAAAACCCATGCTTTTCTTTATTGAAGGAGAGTGGTCCTGCTGATGTTGGTGTAACCCTTTCAATATTCCTCACTTTGCCCCTGCAGGCATTTCCTCAGGCTCTCTAGCTTAGTCTTCATTCAAAGCTGCTGCCACCGAAAGGGTTTTTGGAGTAAGCGTTGGAAGAGTTTCTTTGGGTTTACTTGATCCAACTGTGATGGCTGTGCCTGATGCTTTCTTTCCATCTGACTGCCGATGGCAAATCTAAACTGGAGATCATTGTTGGCTTTGCTGCGAGGCCTGCAGCTTCCTCAGCTGATGGCTTCTCAGCACTGCGACTGGAATTTTCCCTTCCATTCCTGGAAGACACTGTCTTAGTTTTCCCAGGTTTTTCTGCTGCTTCTTCGGGTCCTCTGGAGGCTCCAACTCAATGCTGCTTCTCAGGCTTCTCTCCAGCCTTCCTGTCCGTCGTTCCCCACCAGGGCCTCCCTGCACCACCCCACCCCACCCCACCCCACCCCTGCCTTTAAGGTGAAGTCTGTGCAGGGCTTCACTTCACAGGACAAAGTGGGCAGTGAGGAGATTAGGGAGCTCACTGGACTTGGGGGAGAAATAAAAGCGTGGTTGAGAGAGGCCCTAGCATCAGACTGCCCAATGGATTGCTGCTTCTTCTTTTTTTAAAAAAATATGTCTTTACTGATTTTTTTAGGAAAGGAGGAAGGGAGATAGAAACATTGATGGATGAGAGAGAAACATCTGTTGGCTGCCTCCTGCATATCCCCCACTGGGGATTGAGCATGTGTCCTGACTGGGAATCAAACCAGTGACCTCTTGGTGCCTGGGAGGATACCTAACCAACTGAGCCACACTGGCCAGGCGAGGCTGCTTCTTGATGCTACAATATTATGGTGTGACCTTTCGTAACTTCCCTAACCTCTCTGTGCCATGGTTTCCTTATCTAAAAAAGGAGAATAATGAAATGACCTCAGGTTGGTATTGGGTAGAACAATACATACCTGTGGCTCATAGTTGAGCAAAATGTTAAGTGTTATCACTATTGCTGAAAGGCTTTGTTACAGGGCAGTGAAAAGCGAGGAAAATTCCAGGGCAAAAGGAATAGGGAAACGGAGACAAGAAAGTTAAAACAAGGCCAAAAGGTGCGGGCCATTTACAGCCAGTTTGTAAATTGCAAGCCCTTATCTCTTCCAAGGAGGCTTGTAAGCAAATGGTTAATGCCTCTCCAACTGAAGAATGCAGAAAAGGAAGGGAGGAGGGGGAGAGAAGGGAGTTTTTCTCATGCACTAACCAGTGGTTCTCAACCTTCAGGACCTTTAAACACAGTTCCTCATGTTGTGACCCAACCATAAAATTATTTTCTTTGCTACTTCATAACTATAATGTTGCTACTGTTATGAATCGTAATGTAAATATCTGATATGCAGGATGGTCTTAGGCGACCCCTGTGAAAAGGTCGTTCGACCCCCAGAGTGGTTGCGACCCACAGGTTGAGAACCGCTGCGTGACTAAACAAAGAAATCAGCCATTTTGGGGAAGGGGAAAGGACAGGTTTTTGCTTGTTTGTTTTGTCTTTTCTACTCCCTAAACAAAGAAGCCAGCAGTCTTAAGGCTTGGCAAGATAAAATTGCCAGGTGCTTCTCGTGAGTCCTGGGAAGGCCACACAAAGTAAAAAGGGACCTTGAGAGTTAATCTGTTTCAGGATACTCTGCAGAGGAATTTTGAAATTTATAGACAGGAGGCTATGTAACACTTCGAACGCCCATCCAACTCACCACTCAGATTAGCTGAGGGATGCCCACCTGCGTTCCAAACTGGACGAAGTAGATTTGCTCGCCTTACTTCTTTAATAAATTTTGCTTGCTCTAATTGCTTTAATAAATTGGCTTTATCACAACACAATCAGGGTCTCTTGTTTACATTTATTTATACAAGACAGGAGTGTATGTGTGGGAGGAGTCCTCTCCCTCCCTCTCAACGGGCTGTTGTTCATAACATCTTTTCTGGGGACTCTGGGCTGTGTGTAAGTTTCTGTCAATGATATTGCCAGCCCTGTGGGTTCTGAGGTGCAGGAATCAGCTGTGACTTTTTAAGTAAAGAAAATAGGCCTGGCCCTAACCGGTTTGGCTCAGTGGCTAGAGCACTGGCCTGCGGACTGAAGGATCCCAGGTTTGATTCTGGTCAAGGGCAGGTACCTCTGTTGCAGGCACATCCCCAGTGAGGGATGTGCAGGAGGCAGCTGATGGATGTTTCTCTCTCATCGATGTTTCTAACTCTCTATCCCTCTCCCTTCCTCTCTGTTAAAAAAAAAATCAATAAAATATATATTAAAAAAAAAAAATAGGCCTGAAGGACTTGTGGGAGTTGGACCCTGTGATGGGAATTGCACATATGTGTTAAACACCTCCTCTTCAGGTAATGGCATGACTTTTAATTGGATGCTGAGGCTATTTATGTGTTAGTCCCTCTTGCATATTCTCAGCTCATTGTACACCTACTATGAGGGTTAATCTGTGCTTCCACCAAGGACACATTGCAGCTTCGTGCTGCCCCCTAGAGGACGGGAAAGGTCACTAGCAGGAGCCAGGTCTGCACAGCCACGAGTACTTGATGTGAATGACATCTCTGCATAACTTGAATATCTTCATTTGAATTTGGCGTCATTGAATTTGGAGTCCCTTGGCCTCGGTGCCTCATCAGAAAAATGAGGATAATAATGACTCCCTCATAGGACTGTGGTGAGAATCAAATATGATAATAGCACATGTGAAATCTTATAATTTTAGATACATCTGCTTTATTGTAGTAATAATAGTTGGAGTAATTATAATTCTCGTCAGTTCTCTTTGAGAGACGGGTTCGAGTTAGAAGACTGTGTAATAGGACTCTCCCTTAGAATCAAAGTAGCCATCAGGCTCTGACCACAATTCTTAGTCCCACATTCTGACTCAACGTAGCATTTCAAGAGTTTAGTAAAACAATAGTTGGCTCCAGTCTAGATGACAAACTTGCAACCTTGGGCTAGGAGTGGAGTCCTCTGTTAGCTGGTGAAACTAGAATTTCCCCCTCATCCTCTGAAAAGCAGATAATTGCTGCTAATGGTAATGGGGCAACCCAACCTAGGACCTTATCAGGGTTTTCCTCCAACCTCTTCCTTGTTTCTCCCTCCCCCAGGGCCTTTGCTCCAGGGAGACATTCTCATTGTATGTGTATGTGTGTGTGTGTGTGTGTGTGTGTGTGTGTGTGAGAGCAGGAAAGGCTTACTTTTTTTTTTTTTTTTTAATAATAACCACCTGAGAATGCTGCCTTCAGCCCCTTGGGCTGAGGGTTCTATAAAAGCTGAGCAGAGCTCTCATTAGTCCAGCTCCCTGAGGGCTTGCCACCTGCCGGCTCACCTTCTCCAGCATCCTGTGCTCCCTGCCGCCTGAACCATGATCAGGAAGGTCCTCATCTTCTCTACCTGGTTTGTCCTGGCTGGGACTTTCCCCTTAATACTCCCAAGTAAGTGGACTATTGGGAGGTTTCTGGGAGAACAGAGCTAAGATCTCTCATGGTGTGTGCGTCTGTGTAAGAGGGGATGGCACGGGGAAGAGGGAGCTAGCTAGCTAGAGAGAGAGATACGAAGTGAAAGTTGTAAAGTGAAATGGTTAAAACTATATTGACTTGGATTTAAGGTGAGGATGGGAGGTTGAGCTCTGAGGCCTTGGGCAGTTGAGTGGCTAAGCTAAGATTTGGGCTGTGTGTTTGAATTGACTTGATAAAGGTATAAAGGCTGGGCAGATGGGATTAGGGTAGGTGATTAGAGAGCTACTTCGGGTTTTCTATGTTCTCCTTCACTGTTGGGTGCTAAAGAGGCTTTATTCTATTTAATGGAAGCTTATAAATCCTAGGCTGTATCCTCATTTCAAAGCTGAGTAAAGTTCAAAATGCTTTACAATTCAGCTCAGTCACACACAATGGAGACTAGCCGGTCTGGAAGGGAAACGTGTGAATCACATTGGGAAAGGAAAGGAGGAGGAGTCCTGTGGACCAGAGGAAGGAAGCTTTCCCCCAAAGGCTTTCTTTTCCAGTGGTTCCTGAATTCATTTCTAATGAGGAGGGCTGTCTATTCCTTTGCATTAAAATGGTTACTTTCCCCATTCTGTTCCTCCCACCTCTCCCCCTGGCAGCTCTCAATGTATCAGATGCTGGGGTTGGGTTCTTAGTTGCATGTGAATGAATGATAAAGCAAAGCAACTAAATTAGAGAGCTAATGACTTTGGCCTCATTGGTGGAATGCTCATACCCTGCTGAAAGAAGCAGCCACATGACTATGTATCTTTCACTTTCGCCCAAGAAGGCCCTGTTTGCACCCTCATCAGGCCTACATGGTTATGATGCTTATATATGGTTAGCAAGCCCCCAAATAACTGGACTGGATACTCTATGGGACACTCTGCAAAATGAAATCCTAGACATTTAATGAGCAAATCATAAGAGTAGCCCATTTTAGAGTCAATTCCACTGTTATTTCTTCTTTTTTTATTGAATGTATTGGGGTGATATTGGTTAAAAAAATTATACAGGTTTAAGGTGTACTATTCTATAATCTGTCATCTGTATACTGCATTGTGTGTTCACCAATCCAAGTCAAGTCTCCTTCCATCACCACTTATCCCCCCTATATCCTCTTCTACCTCTTCTGCATCCCCTTGATTCCATTCTTGATATGCACCTTGGAAATAGCTGTTTTCCTTGCTCTTTTCCCCTCTTTGTTTTTAAGTTTTCAGAAACCTGGAAGGATTACAGAGGGGGGAGGGTTTAGAATATTTATTCTGTTTTAGTCTTATTAATTCACATTTAGAGGCACAATATCAAACGTTCCTTCCTAAACTGACCCTTCAAGAAGGGTGGTGTAGGGACACTGAGCATACGACTGGGTGGCAGTTAGCCTTCTGGACGTTCTAGCAGTTGGCAGAAGAGAGACTTGTGGGGAGATGCCATTTGATTCGTTTTACCAAGTTATGCCCTGTTTTCCCCAGAGAAGATCTAGCTCGGAATGGGAAGGGCGTGGAGATGGTGGAGATACTCTTGCTAGAAAATATTTTGAGTGGTTTGTTTTTTCTAGACATTGACTATCATGCAGACATGTTCAAGCACTCAGAGTTACAACCTGAACTAAATTCAATCATTGACCCAGAATCACCCACTGACCTGGACCTCGCTGATGCTTCAGAGTCACTCACTGCCCTGGACCTTGCTGATGCTTTAGGGTCACTCACTAACAAGGACCTCGCTGGTGCCGTAGAGTCACCCACTGCCCTGGACCTCGCTGGTGCTTTAGGGTCACTCACTAACAAGGACCTCGCTGATGCTTTAGAGTCACTCACTAACAAGGACCTCACTGATGCTTTAGGGTCACTCACTGACCTGGACCTCGCTGATGCTTCAGAGTCACTCACTAACAAGGACCTCGCTGATGCTTTAGGGTCACCCACTGACCTGGACCTCGCTGATGCTTTAGAGTCACTCACTAACAAGGACCTCGCTGATGCTTCAGAGTCACCCACTGCCCTGGACCTCGCTGATGCTGTGGAGTCATCCACTGCCCTTGACCTCACTGATGCTGTAGAATCATCCACAGCCCTTGACCTCACTGATGCTGTAGAGTCATCCACTGCCCTTGACCTCACTGATGCTGTAGAATCATCCACTGCCCTTGGCCTCACTGATGCTGTAGAATCATCCACTGCCCTGGACCTCACTGATGCTGTAGAATCATCCACTGCCCTGGACCTCACTGATGCTGTAGAATCATCCACTGCCCTTGACCTCACTGATGCTGTAGAGCCATCCACTGCCCTGGACCTCACTGATGCTGTAGAGTCGACCACTGATGTTTATTTGGAGAATACACAGGCTTTGGGTAAGTAAGGGTTCTGACTGCAGGAGTTGGTGGGAGCCCATCTTTTACATTTCTGAGGGAAAGGCTACTTTCCTCCAGTGAACTGGATTCCCCACATACGAAGTGACCACACCCATTTCCCATTCTGTTTTCCTAGGATTGTCTACCGAAGTGGGGTCAGCTATCCCCAGCATAATGGGAGAAGCCACTGAGGCGGCCACAGGTAAAAATCCCTGTCTTCAAAATGCAGAAAGGTCTCCCTGCCTCTCTTTCCTTATTTACAGTTCATTGCATAGGTGCTGGGGTCCTGCCCCAGCAGGTCCAGGGGTCCCCAAAGGTGTGGACGGAGTCGGCGAAGAAGGAAGGACATGGAGACAGCGTTCAGTTGATCAGCAGCCTAGCCAGGATCTCCAGCCAGGATCTCCAGCCAAGTTCTGGTCTGGATCTCCAGCGAAGTTCTGGTTAGGATCTCCAGCCAGGTTCTGTGTCCATGTTCTCTTGCTAGGTTCTCCAGGTTCTCCAGCCAGGTTCTGTAGCCATGTTCCCTCGCTATGTTCTCCAGCCAGGTTCTGTCCAGGTTCTCCAGCCAGGTTCAGTCACCAGGTTCTAGTCAGGTTCTTTTGCCAATTTCTGTAGTCAGGTTCAGTCCAGGATCTTTTGCCATGTTCTCTCCAGCGAAGTTCTTCTGTCTGTAGGTTCTATGTAGGTTCTGTCTTCTTAGTTCTGTGTTCTAAGCTCTGTATTCTAAGTTCTGTGTCTTGCTGTCTTATTACATCTGTATTTATACCAGTTGATTCAATCCTTTCAATCTCTATTACAAAGGTTAGGGCGTTTCTTATCTTCATTCCAGGGAGTAAAGATTATGTAGCTTAAGCATGATTGTTTGTAGTTAAAGTGATTAATTACCCACCTGGCACTAGTTAAGAGGTTTTATTCCCTCCCTAACTTCAGGGGAAAATCCCTACCTGGGGAAACAACCTTTCTCAGAGACCTTGGTTAAAACACATAGTGCCAAGAAGGTGAGCAAAATATTAAGAACAGTATGCCATATATGCCAGGTCCCTTGAAACAGCAAGCATGGACCGGCTCCCGGCACATAGGAATGTCCTGAGGCAACTTATACAGCTGGGGATACCTTGCTGCTTTGTTCTCTGAGATGATACTTGTACATTGTGAAATGCTTACCACAGTACGGTTAGTTTCTTTGAAACTTGAGGAAAATTGAAGGATTTTCCCCGTGTCAGCAGATGGAACCATTTGAACACCAGCCTGGAGGTTGCCCTGACCTGGTCTCCAGGACCAGCCTTCTGGGCTTCTCTAAAGAGGACGCGCTTCTTGTGTCTCCAAAGGATCAATGGTTAGGGTGGCAAAATAGCTTAAGAATTTGCTCTTCTTTTCCAGTTGATTACAATTCAATTTACACAGGGAACATTTTGAATGAAGATTATATAAGTAAATCTTATTAGAATTTAGGCTGAACAGAAGAAAGGGGGGTTTAAAAGCCTCATAAGTGAAGCAGTGGTCCTATCTCTGCCTACCTCTGTCTCAGGCCTTCATCTGCTTACATTTTCCTCTCTGCCTTTTAGCCACAGGGTCAATGCCTCTGTCACAATGAACAAAACCCCATTGTTTGTGGGATGCCTTCATTATTGCTAAGAAAGAGCCATGGGCCTTACCTACAAAAACAATTTTAAACAATCTGCTCCTTATATCTACAAATAATCGCTAACATTTGTTGAGATTTACTATATTCCAGCACTGCCCTAAATGTATTGGGGGAATGGAACCAATAGTAGCAGGAAGATAGAAATTGTATTTTAGTGGCAGCTAAGGGGCTTTAAATTCTTTTTCCACTAATTATCCTCCTCACAGAATATCTCTCATTTGCAAAATGAAGCGCTATCTCAGTTGTACTCTCACTGCCCAACCTGTAGGGTTTGATTAAAAAGTTAATGTAAGTGAATGCTGCCTCCCACCCTAATCCTCCCACTCTTACACCCCCATCCCATGAGGCAATAGGAAAATTCTCATGTTTGACTATAAGAGCAAGACGCAGCCTCATGGCCCCCATGCATCTTGGCATTTCTGCTAATATACTGAACCCCATAGCCTGATTATCAAGAGATGCTTTCTGGCTGTGGCAATTACCAATGAAATGAGTTTTATTTCCCCCCTGAGTCAGGAGGTGCCAGTTTTAATAAAGGGCCCTGCTCTTGGCTTTTTTTTTTTTTTTTTCTCCACTAATGTGGCTTCTTCATGCAGTTAAATGGATATCTGGACAGTGTGTAAATATCTCATTTAAGGAACCAGAAGAAAGAGGGGGAATAAGCGATTAGACCTTAAAGAAATTCAGTTACATGCACAAGGTCAGAGTGGGGAGTGGGAAAGATAGATGAGTCTAATCTTTTGAGCCCCAGAGTCTCTGCTTTCTTTTGATAATGCTTATTTTTTTTTATTTTAGAAAATGAAGCAGATTCTCCATCGGCTGCAATTTGACTCTCCTAACCACAATTTTCTAAGAAGACTCTGAGCTTCTGCACAAGCCCGCTGTTCTATTATAGGAGCTTGAATAATCCGAAAAGACCCGTGAGCCTTAGTATATACCCAGCTAAGGATAAACACAGTGGAATTGTCCACAGACAGAGGATGTGCACATTTCTGAACCATGTCCATTTAATATGAGACCAATAAATGTTCGTGAGGTAACAGACTACTTAGTTGCCTTGTGTTAGTACCAATAATCATGTTATTCTCTCTGACAGAGACTTCAGGCTCCCAACTCCTCATGACCATAGGAAAGCATGAAATGAACCTATGAAAACTGTATTAGCTTTTCTTTTCTTTTTTATTTATTTATTTATTTTTTTTATTGCTTAAAGTATTACAAAGGGTATTACATATGTGTCCATTTTATCCCCCCGCCCTAGACAGTCCCCTAGCCTCCCCTATCCCCCAATGTCTTATGTCCACTGGTTATGCTTATATGCATTGAAAACTGTATTAGCTTTTCTAGTCCTGCTCTAACAAAGTTCTGCAAACTTAGTAGCTGACGACAACACAACCTGTTATTTTACAGCTCTGAAGTTCAAAAGTCTAAAAGACTGGGTTAAAAAACATGTGTCAGCAGGGCTGAGTTTCTTTCTGGGGGCTTCGCGGAAGAATCCATTTCTTTCCTTCTTTCCTGGCCCTCTTTCGTCTTAAGTCAGTCGTGGCTGGTTGATTCTCTCATCCTTCTTCCACATTTAAGGACCCTCAGAACACATTCGGCCCCACCTGGATTACCCAGGATAATCACCAACTCTAATTTCCCTTTGCTACGTAATTTAACATATTCACTGGTTCTGGGAATTTGTGGGTGAGTAAATTCACCATTTATAAAAATCATAATTGGCAATTCCTTTCTTTCAGCTCTTAAACAATATTGTACCACTTCCTCTGGGCTTTCATGTTTGATGTTTTCTCTTGTCATTTGTATTGGTTACCCGCTGGAGATAGGTTGTTTCTCTTGCTGCCTTCCATATCTTCTCTGTCTTTACTGTGAGATTTTTGATTATAATGTATCTGGTGTGGATTTCTTTGGGTTTATTTTGTTTGGAGTTTGTTTGCCTTTTTTAATCTTCAGGTTTATGTTTTGTTTTCCAGATTGGGGAAGTTTTCAGTCAATATTTCTTTTGAGTTCTTTCTCAGGTCTGCCCTATTTCTCATCTCCTTGGATGACAGATTTTTTTTTTTCTGTTTATTTTCTCTCTGTTGTTCAGTTGGGTAATTTCTATTTTTCTGTCTTTATGTTCATGGATCTTATTGTTTTAAAATTTTGATTATTATAATTTTTAGTTCTAAACATTCCTTTGGTTTCTTTATACATTTTATTTTATTTTATTTTTCTGAAACCTTTACTTTGCTGAGATTTTCTATTTTTTTCATTTGTCTTAAACATGTTTATAATTGCTTAAGGAAGCATTTTTATGATGACTGCTTTAAAATCTTAGTCAGATCACTCTAACCTGTCATTTTCATTCTGGTATCTACTGATTATCTTTTTCATTCAAGTTAAGATTTTCTTGATTTTTGGTTTGACAGGTGATTTTTTTTTTTCATTGAACAAGGTTTTTTGGTATTATGAGACAATGAATTTTATTTAAATATTTTGTCTTAGCTGGCTTCCTCTGACACTACTCCCCAGCAGGAGAAAGGTGGGGCACTGCATTACTGCTAGGTGGGAGCAGAAATACAGGTCTCAACCTCAGTTGGCGGGGAGGGATTTCTCATTAGTGCTGGGTGAGGAATGGAATTCTGACACCCCACTAGGCCTCCTCTGATACTACACTATCTGGGAAGAGGAGGGGTGCTTGTTATTGTTTCCCATATGGTCTCTGTTGGCACCATCCCAGTATAAGGGAGAGTGCTTCTTTATTGATTGATGCAATATGAAGTTCAGGATCCTCTCCGGTCTCTATTGATATCATGGGGAAGGTGAGGGAAGAGGAGAGGCTCAGACTGCTCTGTGGAGATGAAAGCTCTGGTTCCTACTTGACATTCTCTGGCATTACTCTGGCAGGGGGTTGGGGCACCTTGTTACAGCCTGGCAAATGTGGAAATCTCAGCTACCCCTTGCGTCATAGTTTTTTTCTATGGTGTTTGACTGTAGTAGAGTGGCTATTGTCTAAATATTTTCTGTCTTGCTAGATTGTTTCTGGGTCATTTGTCTAGAAAGGATAGGCTTTTGTTGGGGCTTTTTTCATCTGTGTCTGTTGGTATTTCTGTGTTGCTGGCTTTTTCAGTATACATCAGAGATTTATAAAGCAAAAAAGAAAAATGAATCTAGAGAACTTGCCTCCATGTTGTTTCTGGGTCCCTGAGTCCCTATTTCAATTGTATTCTGTTGGGGTCCAGCCCCAGCAGGTACAGGGGTTCCCAAAGGTGTGGACAGAGTCGGTGAAGATGGAAGGACGTGGGGGCAGCGTTCAGGTGATCATCATAGCCAGGTTCTCTCTTTTATTGTCCATTTATACTATTTGATCCCATAAGCATGCCTGTATAATTACATCATGGTATGTTTTGGGTAACGTTCTACAGTTCCTTGTTTCTTATCTGACCTTAGCCCAAAATCCTGTCTCTATCTAGTTCTGTTGATTTTAATCTTGTCTAGGTTAATCTCTGTGTTCCATTACAAGGGCTATTCCAAGGTCACTGCTCTACTGATAGGCTACAAGGAAGTGACTGGAGGAGATTATCCTACCCAGTAAAGGTTATGTCCTCCCAGCCTCGCTGCTTGCCTTCCCTGGGACTGCCCTGTGTCAGTGGGTCTCCAGGGGTATAGGCTTTGGTGCTTTCCTTGGTGGGCAGACTCCTGGGGATGTAGGCCCAACAAGTCCCAAATTTATTGCCAACAGTCTTAGTCCAAGTTCTTCATAAGTAGTACATGGTATTTCTGTAACACTAGGGGGATTTACTGATTTATTCTCTTCCTTAGTCCTGTTAACTCCAGGGAAAAATCCTCACCCGGGGAAACAACCTTTCTCCCGGAGGTGGTCCTGTTTAAAACACATAGCGCTAAGAGGGGGAGCAAACATGCCATATACGCCAGGTCCCTTGAAACATAAGCTGTGCAGATGTTTCTTCCCTGTGGCGACTGTGTCAAGCAGCAAAGGTGGACTGGCTTCTGGCAGTATTCTCTCCAACTTTCAGAGAAGGTGGGAGTGGAGAAGAACATCCTAAGGTGTGGAAAAAAATACATGTTCTGGAGGGAAGGAGTAGGAAGAACAGAAGAGGCCAGCCTGCAGTAGTAAACAAAAGCTAGAGTGAGTTTAGAGATATGTCTGGAGAGGGAGGAAGGGACCAGGTCATGCCAGGCTTAATGTCCACATTCAGGAATTTAGTCTTTATCATAGGAGATATTGGGAGTTTTAAAGCTGGGGCTGGCAAAAGATCATTACATTATCATATTTATGGCTTGAAAAGCTTACTCTGACTGCTGACCATAGCTTAGAGAATAATTTGGAGGGGAAGCCAGAATGATCACAGGTCACCAGGTAGGATATTATAGTATGCAGGTGAGCATGGCAATAGAGAAAGAGATGAGCAGATTAAGTTGAGAAATAATTAGGAAATTAGAAAAGGGTACAGAAATTGGTGGTGGATTTTGTAAGTCAAATAAGACAGAGTTAAAGCTATAGAGTTTGTATTACATGAGTGGTTGGATGGTGGTCTCTAGAATTAGGATTATCAGATTAATTCTGTTTTGGCAATATTGAGTGCCTTTAAAATATTAAAATGAAAATGTCAAACAGATAAAGGTGTAAAGCTCAGTAGAGGTCTTAGCAAGAGATATAATTTTGTATTATTGGCACATAGATGATAATTATATAAGCCATAAGCAACAGGGTTTTTTTTTTCAGCTTTATCAAGGTATAATTGATAAAACTATATGTATTTAAAAGTATACAATGCAATGATTTGATATACATATACATTATGAAAGGATTACCCAAATCATTTCACACATCCACCCTTTGCATAGTGGCATTTTTTAGGATGAGTTTTTAAGGAGACAGTATATAGTGAAAAGAGACAAGAATTTAAAACAAAATTAGAGGAATTTTATAATTCCATGGCTAACTGGAAGCAGATGCATCTGCAAAAAACACATAAGGCTTGAGCTCCTAGATGGTGGGAACTCTGACTTTGTATTCATCATTACATCCTAAACTTCTAATGAAATAACTGGCATAGAGAAGAAACTCAATAAATACTTTATAAATGAAATAAGAATGGAACGACCAGAGAGTTAGAATATAAAACAGGTACATGCAGCCCTAACCAGTTTGGCTCAGTGGATAGAGTGTCAGTCTGCGAACTGAAAGGTCCCAGGTTCGATTCCGGCCAAGGGCATGCACCTTGGTTGTGGGCACATCCCCAGTAGGAGGTGCGCAAGAGGCAGCCGATCGATGTTTCTCTCTCATCGATGTTTCTAACTCTCTATCCCTCTCTCTTCCTCTCTGTAAAAAATCAATAAAATATATTTAAAAAAATAAAAATAAATAAAACAGGTACATGCAGTTATCAAAGGAGAGAGTTTGCTTGCTGGTGCTGAAAAGCAGGTTAAGATAAAGATTGAAAAATGTCCATTGATTTTAGCGACCTGGAAATTATTGGTTACCTACTGTGAGCTTTTTTTTAAGTGGAACGATGGAAACAAAAAATCTTGGTTTATAAGCCATTGGCAGCCTTTTGTTTTGATCTCTTAACATATTGCTAAATTGCTTTCCTAGAATATAATAGAGTGACTTACAGTTTAGTTGTAAAACCGTTTTTTATCCCCTTTCTTCTCAAACAAAACAACAAGAAACAAGTGCAAACATTGTCTTTGATAAAACTTATAGGACAAAAAACCCCACAAAAAACAAACAAAAAAAACTTATAGGACAAATATAAGCGACAACATATGAAGACTGAAAACAGGCAGAATGGTCAATGACATGACAGAAAGGAGAAAGGTAATACTCAGGTACCTGTGGAAGCCTGATTGGGGTAAAGTGATACCAAATAGACATATGCCGATTCATGTTATAGAACCCCGACAAGGCTCAAGGATTGTAGACATCAGGTGCTGCGATGATTCGATGGAAGGAGTAATGATAGTGGTGAGACAGGTAATACAAAATAGTTAGGTTTATATCCTCCATCATTCCAGCA